GGCAAAATAGGTTAGTTGATTAACGAATTCATTCATTCACAAAAATATTTACTGAGTGCCTGCCCTGCACACTGAAAGGAGTTAAGAAATGTAGTAAAGCGGTGATCAAGATAGACTTAATTCCCTTCCCTTATTGTGGAGTCAGCATTATAATTAGGGAGGCAGATAAACAGATAACATGTAATAGAAATCTCCCATCTTGATAAGTGCTCTGAAGAATAACACAGGCTAAGGAAGAGAGACTGACGGGGAAGTTTTAGAGGAGACTTCTGAACAAAGCCCGGAATGTCCGGGACTCCCCAGGCTTGCACTCTGTGGGTCTGCCAATGCTATTTCTGTTTGTCCAGCTTCACTGAGATGTAACTGATCTAATACTGTCCGAGTTGAAGATGTACAATATATTGCTTTGCTACACTTACACACTGTAAAATGATTGCCACCACAGTGAATGCTAAGTGTCCTAAAATGCTGGCAATCAGCAGGCGGGAGGGGTTGGGGGTGGGGGTTAAGCAAGCAGGTGGCTGGCAGCACTTCACCAGCATAGGGGATTCAAGGTCTCAGGCAAAAGCAGACCCACAAGGGTGCTGTGGGCAGATATATGCATCCCAAGACTCACTCTGAAGGGCCCATGGCCTCCAAAGGGAACATGATATAGTTAGACTCAAATTCAACCAACCATCGAGTGCCTGCTCTGCACAATGCACTTGGCAGTACACGTTCACCCTATTACTTACCTAGTCGCCTGCCTATTCAGCCATGGAAACCTCACTGATCAGAGCTATTCTTGAGGCAACCATATGCCCCAGTTGGCCAAAACAGATCTGGGTTGCAACTGTTGTCTCAGAGAAATTATTTATAGTGTTCCCTTTCACTCTCAAAAGTGTCTCAGTTTGGACAATAAGTTACATGATCACCCAACGGCTCCTTATCTATAGTAGATTGATAAAGTCAAAGCCTTTGTTCAACAAGTATTTATCCAGTGCCTCCTGCATGTCCGATGCTGCTGGATTCTGGGAACGTAAGGATGAAGCCATGGCCTGTGCCCTGGAATACCACATTGTAATTGGTTGAAACACATGCAGGACATAAACAATACAGTGGGGAGTGCAGTGACAGGGATAGACATGTGGTGTGATGGGTGATGCGGGCATCAGTGGCCTGGCCTCCCCAGGGTGGTCCTTGTGCTGAGCAAAACCTGGAAACGAAGCCACACCCCTTCACAGCATCATTCTTACCCATAACCTATGGCAGTGGTTCTCAACCTTTCGTTGCTACTTCATAACTGTAATTTTGCTACTATTAATGAATCTTAATGTAAACAATCTGTGTTTTCTGATGGTCTTAGGCTCTACAGCAGCGGTTCTCCACCTGTGGGTTGCAACAATGTATTTTTATTGATTTCAGAGAGAGAGGGAGAGGGAGAGAGAAATAAAAACAATGATGAGAGAGAACCACTGATTGCCACCCACAGATGGAGAACCGCTAGCAGGGTCACCTAGGACCAACGGAAAACATAGCTATTTATGTTATGATTCGTAACAGTAGCAAAATTACAGTTATGAAGTAGCAACAAAAATAATTTTATGGTTGGGGGTCACCACAACACGAGGAACTGTATTAAAGGGTCTCGGCATTAGAAAGGTTGCGAACCACTGCTCTATGGGATCTTAACAATCTAACTTGGATTCTTACTCCCCTTTCACCAACTCAACACCGCCTCTTCCCAGATGCCTGCCCTCTAATTGCTGGCGTGTTCCAGGGCACATTTCCTGACCTTTCCTTCTGCCCACAGACCCCATCCCAGCACAACTCTCCGTCCCCAGTCCCCTCGCCATTCCAGCCATGAGTACCCAAATCTTAATCAGCATCCCTAACTTGGATGCCGGATAAACTTCTCAAATCCTAACAGACCCAAGCCATAAACACCTTCTCATCTACTCTCCTCAGATGCTTTCCGGTTTAAGGAAATGGCAACTCCATCCGTTCAGCTGTGCAGGCAAAGTTACCTTTGACTCCTCTGGTTCTCTGATGTCCCACAGCCCACCCCTCAGCACATTCCTTTGGCCTCACCTTCAATGGACATCGAGACCATTTCTTGTCACCACTTGATGCTCTACTATCTGCTAGTGCTGTCTCTTGCCCGTTTTACTGCAGGCGCCTTCCCCCAGGCCACCGTGGCATTCTCAGCCCAGCACCCAGTATCACCCTTTCCTGTGTAAGACAGGTCAGAGCCGCCAAGCAGCTCCGCACGGCCCTAGCAGTAACAGCCCAAGTCCTTCCCACACGGTCACAGTCCCTGCATGACCGGGCCTGGAGTTACCTCTCAACCTCTCTTCCTCCCATCCGTCTCTCCTGGTCTTGCTGTTCTTTGACCATGTCCTTGCTGTTCCCTCCCTTGTCTTTTTCAGATGTTTGTTCAAATATCACAGCAGTGAGGCTCTCCTTAATAATTCTATCAGGAGTGGGTTGAGGTATCGGCGGGAGGAGCCATTACGGGAGCTGGAACTGCTGATTAATCCCGATCAAGATGACTACCTCCCAAAAGCACCGAGATTTCGTGGCAGAACCCGTGGGGGAAAAGCCAGTGGGGAGCCTGGCCAGGATCGGTGAAGTCCTGGGCAAGAAGCTGGAGGAAAGGGACTTTGACAAAGCTCATGTGGTCCTTGGCCAGTTTCTGGTGCTAAAGCCATTCTTCCGGGAATGGCTAAAGGACACATGTGGCGTCAATGCCAAGCAGTCTGGGACGGCTTTGGGTGCCTTCGAGAGCAGTGTGACGCCTTCTTGGGATGCTCTCTGGGGAGCCCCATCCCCAACACCAGCCTTGAATCTCCAAAGTTTGCAGCTGAGTGGGGGCTGCTCCCTTGTCCTCTACCAAGGAAATTATTGCTGTCTGTTCACCGCCAATGTCCTCCAGGAGTTCTCTCCCCTGACCATTTCAACTTTTTTTTTTTTTTTTTAATTCTCACTCTTGCATGCATCTCCCTTCTCCTTCCTGCCAGTTTCAGGTCAATAACCAGGATTTCTGGCCCCTACCCTCACCCCTGGTCTGTTTAATAACATTTGGCTTCTCTTTTGGCAAAACAGTCACTGTCTATATAAAGTTTTTTAAATCAATAAAGTCAGTGGCCTTCCGAGAGAAATAAAATAATTCTATCTGTAGTTTCAAACCTCCCCACCCAGCACTCCCTATTCCCTGCTTTATTCTCCCCTGCAGGCTTAATAGGGTTGCTAGATAAAATACAGAACGGCCAGTTAAATTTGAATTTCAGAGATAAATGATAATTATTAACATAAGTATGCTCCAATAGTGCATGGGCTATACTTATACTAAAAAAATAATTCGTGGTGTATCTGAAATTCAAATTTACCTGGGCATCTTGCATCTGTATTTGCAAAATCTAGCAATCCTGCCATCTAGGATGCTATATATTTTACTTATTTGCTCATTATCTGTCTCTACCGCCCCCATCCGCCCAAACTTAGCCCTTAGAATATAAATTCAATGAAGGCAAGTACTTTTTTTATTAGTCTGTTTGCTGCTAGATCCCCAGTAGCTAAAAATAGTGACTACTACTTAACAGGTGCTCAATATTCATTAAACAAATTAACGAAGTGATCACACTCTCTCTTTGGGACCAGCTCAAGGCTCTCAAGCACCTTTCCATTGCTGTGCTTCTTTGAAAGTTATTTCTTAAATTGGCCCCATTCTAATTGCCCGTGTAGATGCTGAGCCATTTATTGCACCAAAGGCCCAGAGGCTGGATTCCTGCTTTAGGATTAGGACCTAACAAATGAGGGTGGGGGGAGGGGCGGGAGGAAGCCTTATCTACTGCTGGACCCCACTGACCAGGCGCCTGCAAGGAGAATGCTCTGCTTTGGAAGTGCAAACCGAGGCCAGGACTGATGAATACAAGACTCAGGGATTTTCCAGGGGTTTCTAAGCTTAAAGTTTCCTGCATTTCACCCGGGGGAAGGGAGGTGGGATGAAGAGATGAGGGGTGGAGGGCTGGGAAGGGGAGGGGGTGCTCTGCCTCTTGTGATTACATTTTCTTCTGTCTGGCTTACTTTTGCATTTTCAGCGTGGATGAGTCATTTGTTACTTCCCTCACACACACCTTTTCCCCCGTGGACAATCCCTACTCCCACACAGCGCTGCAGTCCCGAAAGCAAGGCTTTCAGCTGCTAACTGGACCCAGATGAACCTGGGGGAGGGGGGTGGTTGTTTGAGAACTGCTGTCTGTAGGATGCCGCACGGTAGGTTCTGGGGGCAGACTCTGGAGAGCAGATAAGTCCTTTCTCTACCCAACCCCTCTGTGATTTTTTTTTTTTTTTTTTTTTTTTTTGGAACAACATGAGCTTCTGGAAATTCCCTACGGAAAAGACAAGTCTATTATAAAAAACAATTCAAGGGAAACTGCCCAAAGAAAACTCACCCACATGGTCTAACAACTCTCAACTTTTGAATTAAAACACACAGCAGACTCAGGGTCCCACCTATCCTCCAGATGCACATGGCTCCCGGGCTGGGCTGTTCTGAGCTGTGAAATGAAACATCCCCAAACTCTGTGATTTAAACTCTACAATAGTGGCATCCACCATGCATTTACCTCAGGAAATCCCCCAACCAATGAACGGGAATGCCGCCGCCCCAGCGAGAGCTCCAGAGCAACAACTGCTTTCTCTCTCCCGCGCTGAGCGGCGGGGGGGAGACGCTGTCTTTGGCGGCGCATTTGTCATCGCCCGGAGACACAGCAGCTCCTGGCTGCTGCCTGCGCTCCAAATGGGACGGTGCCACGCCGCTTCCGAAAATCCTGCCGGAGATGGAGTAAAAAAACAAACAAACCAGAAATCCCAGCTCTCCACTCAGTTCTGAAAACGCGCCACCGCGAGAAATAGCTCCTTTCCTTGGCCCCGAGCCCTGTCCCCACTGATCCAAACGCAGCCAGCGGCGGGGGACGCGCGTCACCGTCGCCCCATCTTTGAATGAGGCTGCTACTCACCCCGCGTGTGCCTGCCGTCTGCTGAGCGAGGAGGGCTCGGCTCGCCTTCCCGGCTTTCTCGTTCTTCCATTGTCCCAGCCCCCAGCACGACGCCCCCCGCTCTCCAAACTTCCCGGCGCAGGTCTGAGAGCTCTCCGAACGCGCCTGGAAGGGGATCCGGGCTGGAGAGGGGGCGGGGGGAGGAGACGATGCGAAACCCCACCCCAAACTATTCTCCACTCCCGTGCACAGTCTCCGGGGCTGGAGAAAAGTGCATTCCAGCGCCGGGCCCCCGCCCGCGGACAGTCCCTGAGCGCCCGGGGCTGCGCTCCCCGCGCCGCGCCCCCGCCGCGCGCTCCCGAGGCCCCAACAGGTGACGGCCTCCCGCCCGGGACGCGGGCTGCCTGTCTCCGCCGTGGCTGGCCCGCCGCTGCAACAGTTCACAGGGATCACTGGCGCGAACCTTCTGGTCTCTTTCATCTCAGACACTGAGTCAGCTTCCCACGTGGGCTACTATACAGATTTATCAACAGCCAACTGCTGAACGTACCAAATTTCAGTGAAATCCCTTAAACTTTTTTTTAAAAGGAGTGTAAGCTGAATATTGTTAAGGAAACACTTTCTGGCACTACTTGGAGCCTGATTAGCACACACAGAGGTGGTTTGACACCATCCATTTCAACTAGGCTTTAAAAAGTTTGTATTTATTTGCCTACACTTTGATTACGGACCTTTCCCCAACACACACACACACACACACACACACACACACACACACACACCCCGTGGATAACAGAGCTGAAAAGGACACTTAGTTAAATCAATCTTCTGACTCTCTTGAGTTAATTCATTTAAGATATCTGAAAAGCAACTAAAATGCTTTACTTTGGATGGGCAGGGGTAGGTCCGACTTACTTTGTCTTTTTAAACTACCTACAAATATTTATTTTGTTTGCTGCCCAGTCCTTGAAAAGCTGGCAAATTTCCCAGAAAGTGAAAATAGGCACAATGTTCACACACACAAAAAAAAAAAGAATGGAAAAATAATCTAAGCAACATCAATATCTAAAAGTAGTACAACCACTAGTAGGAAGAATGGGATATTGTAAGGTGTAGTGGACCCCTTCGGTTGAGTGGGGGAGGAGAACAATGGTCAGCCTGTTGACCATACCTTGACCCAGTTTGCAGGACAATCAGGCACGGCTTTAGATTAATTTAGATAAAGAATTCGTGCAGAACAATGGCTGGCCTATCCTCCAGATTCTGACCTTGGGTCCTTGTGCGTTTGGCCGTGTGGGGGACATATTTTGGCCATTTAGGGCAAAAAGATGCGGAAGCCCCTAATGGACAATGGATACAGACCAAAAGGAAAGTGGGCATGCCAGGGAGTGAGCTGAACTCACAATGGAGAGGGAAGAAGAAACTCCTAAAAGGACTTCTCCTTGAAATCTAAGATGTGGTGAATCTCCTATGAAAGCATGCGTGCAATTGGGTGGACAGTGCAGGTAACTCAAGGTCTCCAAGATTTTGCAACGGGATTAATTGGTCATCTTGCTTTAAGGATGATCTAATCTGACACAGACAGTGTCTGTACTGGTGGCCCTCAGGCAAATGCCAGATGAAACATGTTTAACCTTACTATTTCCTCAGGTTCAGGAGGGATCTGTGTTCAGTCCCCCAGGTGCAGATTATTCTGTTCCTTGTATAGCTGTGGTTATTTGTCTTCAAATTATTAATGTCAGAAAGATAGGGGGTGTCTGATGAGGAAGGAGAGAGAGGGGGGTGGGGGAGGGAGAGGGAGAGAGAGAGGAGGAGGAGGAGAAGGAGAAGGAGAAGAAGAGGAGGTGGGGAGGGGAGGGAAGAAGTTGCAATCCCAGAGTGTCAGTTTAAACCAGAGGTCCCTGGTCCTGGGGCTGGAACACCAACCAGATTTGCTGTGCTGTGTGAACAGCCTGCTCCTAGCAGCTCCTCCTTGTCTCTTGACATAGCACAGAGACAAACCCCAGAGTAAAAGAGATAAGAGTGTACCTACAACAGATAGCACCCGGCCCTGCCCCAAGTGTGTGGGGGTTCGAACTAGCTCAACCCAAGCAGAAAAATAAATAAATAAATAAATAAATAAATAAATAAATAAATAAATAAATTTTTAGATGCAGATGATACTTTCTCGGGGCTATCTGGAAAGTGTGAGAACAGCCCAGCAGGGGCTCCAGATGGACATACTAATAATGGGGGCAGCTCCCCCACTAGTTCTGGACTCCGTTCAGTTCCCAGGCAGCCCAAGGCACCCCATCAGCAGACCGCGTGTTCTAACCGCTGGGACCCTCCTCTCCCCCATGGACAAAGCGGGCTGCCTCCTCTGTAGATATCCCTGAAAGCCAAACTCTATGTGGAATGCACAAAAGAGAAAGGCATTCCTGGTGAAGCTAACTGACATAAATCATCAAGGACCATGAAATCTGGACGTACTAGTATATCACAGCACAATGTGTTCTCTTGAATAGTTCAACTTCCAGGCCATTCTACGCAGGGAAAGCTTCTTTTGCACTGGTTACTAGCCCTTTGTTCTTCCTCCTCGAGGACAGGAATGGAAAACAATCTGAGAAGGCACTGTATTAATGGTGTTGTTGCACTGGCTCTGCATTTCTCCTCAAAGCTCACAGAACTTACTGTAAACTTTTTGCTGAATGTCAGTTTTTCTGAGAGGGGACTCTGGAAAACAGTAACTGAACTCTGCCACCAACATAAGTCAGATCTTCATGGAAAATACTTTGCTTATCATTGCTGTTGTTGTGGAGATGTTTTCTGGAAGAAAACTATTTGAAGTGCACCATGCTTTTCAGTTTAATGTAATTTCTGGGTTTAAAAATTGCCATTATAAGCCAATCTGCCTACTGCTATCCTTTGAAATTTGCTGTGGAAGGCAGAAGAGAAGCGGGAAAAACTTGAAATTTGATTTTCCTCCAGTTTTATAGAGAACTACAATAATGATACCAGGGCTAAATTTTCAACCCCATTTCTGTTAACCAAGGAAGGTGCAAGACTATTTCTTGGTTAATTGCTCCATGTTGGCAATTCATGACTCAAATAAACTAACACACTAAAAAGGTGTCATTTAAAAGGCAAGACAAGCCTGGCAGGTGTGGCTCAGTGGTTGAGCATTGGCCCATGTATTAGGAGATCACGGCCAGGGCACATGCCTGGATTTTGGGCTCAATCCCCAGTTAGGGGGCGTGCAGGAGGCAGCCAATCAATGATTCTCTCTCATCATTGATGTTTGTATCTCTTTATCCCTCTCCCTTCCTCTCCTCTGAATCAATAAAAAAACATATTTTAAAAAATGAAAATAAAAGGAAAGACAAGCAATGGGATGAAAGATGGTGATTTTGCAGTCAGAGCTAAACTATTATAGTACTGGCTCCTTGTTGGTTTTTATAACACAACTTAAAGGGGCATCTATCATGATGGACATTAATCACAATTACATATGACTTCTCATCAGCCCAATTACATTACAGGACTGTGGAAAGCATGTCAACCTCCTTTGTGTAAGTTTTTCAAGAGAGAAATCATTTCTAGAACCAAGCATTCATGGAATTACTGATATGTTTCCTGTGTTTGTTTTTTTTGTTTGTTTGTTTTTTAGTCCTAAGGATAAGATAGCTTCAGATGACAACATTAGGACACAGAAGAAATAACCAATGCTTGCTGAGGTCATAAATGTGATTTTCAAAGACTCTGATGGCCCTGAAAGAAAAGCAAAACAAAGTGAAAAGCAAACAAAACCAAAATGTTTCAACCAGAGGCCTCGTGTTTGATGTGCTCCATGTCGCCTTTTCTAAGGGACACATTGGTGTATGTCACTCTGTATCTCATTAATGAAGGACTTTTGACAACTGGGAAAACATTTGCTTACAGGTGATTGAGGTGTAGGGTCTTCAGTGCCAGTGTTGCCAGCAGTGTGCCAGCTGGCTAGGGGGACCTTCTCCTTAAATGTAAGCCGAAGGGCTGGTGACAGAGAGCGGGGACGCTATTAATAATGATGGTAAGACAGGACGCAGGAGCCATTGCTGCCTAGCCCAGATGGTCACCCACGTGGAGCCCAAGATAAGCCCGAGTGCTCCTCAAGTTTCCAAATGTAAAATGAGCATAACAGCGCTGTCTGAGTTTCCCCACACAGACTTCTCCAGAGAAGTTTAAGCACTAATTAAAGGTGTGAACCTCATTAGCTCTGCATGACAAGCCCCACCAGCAACTTCCCATCAGGAAACACAAATTCCGCAGGATGATATTCTGCAGGATTCAGAACAGCATCTGAAACCAGGTCACCATTTTCATCGTGAGAGCATTCTCTCCAGAAGGAAACGGCTCTTCCTGCTCCTCCTTGCCGTCCTTTCAAGCCCAGCTGCTCCCAGGGGAGCCAGCTGGCCAAGAGAGTGAGGTGGCCCTTAGCCCCCACCTCTCGAGTCTCTCTATTTCCATGTCTTGGAACTCTCTGCCCACACCCCATACAAATTCCTCATGCGGTTATAAATATGAGCTACCCTTAGAGCCAATGTGTTAATACTTTGAGCATATCTGCTTTCTTTTCAAGAGACTCCATTGAAGTCCCTTTTATCGGGGGTTCTTTTTATCTCCGTTAAGTTGAAAGATGCAGGAAAGCAAAGACCTCATCTGCAAAACCCCGGAGCCGGGGCTGCCATGTGTGCAGCAGGTCAGGGAAAAACCCGTGCTCAGCTCCGCTTCCTGGCCACCGGAGACCAAGTCTGGATTCCAGGTGGCAACTTTTAAGTGAAAATTGCAACGGTGTATCCTGGAGTGAGCTAAACCCTGACATGTCCCACGGACTTCCCACCAGCCCAGGAGGGAAGCCATGCCAATGCAAGAACTTCCACAGACACAAGCACCCCGCTTGCTTCCTTGCTGAACCCTTTCAAGTGAGAGTATTTGATGGGGGCTCACTGGACAGGGGTTTCCCTGGCCTTGTATTCCGCCCTGGCCCTTCCCCACCTGCCCTCCCTCAAAGCGACAGTGAGCTGTGCAGGGGGCACAAGAGTCATGGGGAACAAGTCCCAGCGCCATGAAATCGGG